TAGAATGTGTGGACTTTTTTTTAAGGGGGACCCTTCTTCCCTCATGTTACTTTGCAGATTGGCTTCAATTCTCTTCCCACAAGGGATTAAATGTCAAATAAGAAGAGTGATGGCCCTTGAGAAGCCCCCTCTCTCCTTGGTGCTGAAAGGCTAAGACATGGGCTGTAAGACAGAACAGCAAGGCAATCCTACCTCTTCACCAGCCAAGGCCACGATGTTGAGCCAATAGTAACACAGAATTCCAATGATGGATATTTTCAAAAAGATGTTTCTAAAATAAGAGAAGAGAAAACCACTATCATTACCCTTATAGCAGTCACTAGAGCTTTTGCCTGTATTTCCTATTGGATCCAAGATAGGGACGCAAGCCCTGCTATCCTGTGCTTGGATGGGCCACCTCACTAGTTCTAGAGAATGTGTTGTGAGAAGTGATGTCTGCTGTTACTTCTAGGCTGGAGCATTTTAAATGTTGGTGTGTGACCCTCCAGAACAGACAGTCTTCCTCTGGAAGGGCAAACAATAGATAGATCTTGAGAGAGCACAATTTTCAAGGTAGACAGTTTTTACTGGTTAAGTTAAAATATTGTTAGTTTTAACAGGAGATATTTTTGGTTTAAGGTCTAAAGATATCTCAGGGCAATAGTTTCAGGGGTTCATCCAGCCTCCATGGCCCCAAAAAAGTCCATTTGAATTTGAAATTGTGTTCTACATTTTCCCCCTTTTGATCAGTGTTCTTCTGTAGAATCATTGATCAAAATGTTTAGTAGTGTCCCACCCCCTCCACACACAGAGTGGACAGAGATGGGCAACTTGGACATTGGATACTCAAATGGGGAAGGGGGAACTACAAAGGCAAGAAGTGACTGGCTTACAAGCTTTCAAGGGGGAACCTAGTGCTAGGGAGCATGGAGAAAGGCAGAATCACCAGTAGGTACTATTCAATCTGTCTGGGTGGAGCGGATGAAAGGAAATACAGATGGATAACTCGTGATACTGTAGTGACTAATGCTTATCAGGATGGATTATGAGGGTTGGAAATGCAAAGGTAGACGTTTTGGAACAAGGAAGGGAGTGATTAATTCTATAGGCTAGGAGCGGAGCTATCTGGGACCATCAACGGAGAAGAGCCGAGAGTGAGACCCTACCCAGAGAAACAGAGATGCCTGAGATGGAGACAGAGATGATGACGTGGAGTGATGAAGCGACTGGGGACTTTGGATCCAGAGAGGGAGAGGGACTGTGGGCCGAAAACTGTGTGTGTGTGTGGGGGGGGGGCTTAGGGGGAAGTGTATGGGGCGGGTTTCTAGGATATACCCTTTGGTTGGTTGATGATGCATGGAGGGGATTGGAACCATGGCAATGAGATGATATACGATGGAATGAATATAAAACTAAAGTTCTCTCATGTAAACTATCATATAATTCACAATAAAACATTAAAAAAAAAAATGTTTAGTAGTGGTAGCTGAACACCATCCAGTTCTTCTGGTCTCAGGGCAAAGGAGGCAGCTGTTCATGGAGGCAATTAGCCCTACAGTCCATCTCCTCCTGTTTCTGACTCTCCTTCCTCTGTTGCTCCGGGTGACTAGGCACCAATTTTGTGCTTTGGATGATACATGCTGGTTTTAGTAGGGCTCTGCATAAACACCACTTATCGTGCCTTGAATTTACTTTTCTATCCAAAGTCTTCCTTAATTCCCACCAAATGATTGGCTGGGACCATGCAAATAAGGTGCACAGGACTCTAAGGCTGGGATTGGTTAGTTTTGCCCTCCAGCTAGGCTTAAAAGGAGCCATCTCAGAAGTGGAGACAGACGATCCCAGAACCATAAAGAAAGAAGACCATGAGTAGAGCATGAGATGTCAAGAGGTGACAGCAGAGACACCAACCGAGACAACAGCAGAGGTGGTGGCATGGAGAGACAGAGCAGCTTCCAGCTCTAGGCCTGTGGACTGAGTAAAGCTGAGTGTCTACAGGCCGGAGATGGCTTGCAGAATGTGCCCTTTGGTCATTCATAGACTGGCTAAAAAAGCTTTGTAACCCTTGCCTGAGCAGAGCAGCAGAGGCCAAGGGGCCACATGGTTGAGAGGCGGAAGGTAAGAATGAGGTGTGCCTGCAGTATGGCAGACAGGAGGTGTTCCTGACTGGAGAACTTCCGCATCCTGAATTTGTTCTGATTTTAAATTGTACCCTCTTCACTTCCCTAATGAACCCCATAACCATGCATATTGTTATGAGTTCTGTGGGGCCATTGCATTGGATTATGGAACCCAGATGTGAAGCAGAGAGTGCTGTAGGAGGGATGGTTGGTGTCAGAATAGGGTCCAGAAAGTTGTAGGGTAGAAGCATGCCTGACTTCCACTTCATAGGAATCGATTTTGGGCTGATTTTGATTCTCATCCCCTCTTGTGAAGCCAGGGGAAGTTGGCCATGGCTCCCACATGGTTTTTGCACTGTTAGATAAGTGCTTCTCAAATCACAGTCCCCAGACCAGCAGCGACAGCATCACCTAGAAACTTGTTAGAAAGGCAGATTTTCAGAGTCCACCCTAAACCTACTGAATCAGAAACTAGGGGTGGGGCCCAGCAAGATGTTTTTGAACAAGTCTTCTAAGTGCTGATGATGCACAGTCAAGGTGGAGAGCCACTGGACTAGACTCAGGCTTCTATGAGGGAAAGAACTAGGTGACTCCTTTTCCATCTAGATCCCCAACCTCTTGTCCAAGGCTTAGTCAGTAGAAGGCTCTCATTACGTTACCTTTACTGAATGAAGCCCTGGGTGATAAAAACTATTAATGAACACCACTGGAGTTTTAAGTCCATTCAGAGGTGTCTGAAAGGAAGGCCTGGTGATTTACTTGCAGAAATTCCACCAATGGAAACCCTATGGACCATCTAAGGTAGAACTATTGGTTTCTACTTATTTGGAGCAAAAGAGAAAGAAGCAAATGAAAGACTCAAAGAAGAAACAAGACAAACAAGTCTATACAAACCACGGTCTCATTTACCCTGAGACCAGAAGAATTAGATGGTGCCCAGCAACCACTACCAATGGTCTAATCAGGACAACAATAGATGGGCCCTGAAAGAATGGGAGAAAATGTGGAACAGAACCTCAAATTTCTAAATTTGTTTCTACAATAAAACAAAACAGATCTATTGGACTGGCTGAGACTGGAGGGCTCTCTTAGACTATTGTTCTAGGATTCTTTTCAAATCTTGAAGTAAAACTAAAGCCCTCAGGTCACCTTGTAGCTAAATAACAAATTTATATTTTGCTAAAAATAATAAATATCATCCAAAAGTGGTATGATGTGCTCTTTTAAAAATTCATCAACATGAAAACAAATGGTCAACAATTACTTTAAAACAAAGATGAGAATATAAGGGCGCAGGGAAACTAGATGGATGGAAATGGAACAACCAGAATGGAAATATTAAGACTGTTCACACCTTGTGAAAAATATAATCAATGTTGCTGAACAACTTGTATAGGAAGTGTTGAACAGGAACCTAACCTGCTGTGTAAACTTTGACATGATGGTGCAGTGGGTACCAGGGCTGACAGTATGACTAATGGGGACACTGGATGGATTTCAGTCCCCACACAGCTCCTCAGTATACTACTTGGACATTTGCAAAATTAATTCCTAGAAAAATTAGATGAAATCTTCAGGCTGTTAGCAACTGGAGAAGGTAAAGTCATTACTTTGAGCAAAATGCAGAGGTAGGTACTCAATAACTGTAGTGACTGAGCCTGTTGGGACATGGTTGTTGTCAAGTCAGTTCTGGCTCATAGCAACCCTGTATAGGGTTTCCATAATGCAGCTGGTGGGTTTGAACAGCCAACCTTTCAGTTAGCAGTCCAGTGCTTATTCTACAGTGCCATACCAGGACTCCATTGACATATTATGACTATATTATTAAACCATACCAGACAAACACACTTTACTCCTGATGTTCCTGCTGGAGAAGAGAACTTTGGTATTGAGTATAGTTCCTTCCAGACCCCACTCACTTTGTAGAAACAGTGGTGTCTGGCAGGACAGGCACACTTACCGAATCAGGAGGGTGTAGACTTCATGGCGCGGCAACTCATACCTCTCCACCAGCCCGAACATGGAATAGAGGCGTGGTACTACCAGGTTGATGCAGGACACGACAAACGGCAGTAACAGCACAGCCCCGGGGTCCCTGTGCCTTTTCAGGAACTGTGGGGGACAGATGGGGAAAACCAAGATGCTGATTGTGCATGGAACCCCTCCCGGTCTCACTTAGAAGACCCCTGTCATGGGAAAACCCCAGAAGGAGGTCCTCCAGAGTTAGCTATTAATCTACATCCATTGGAGGTTGATAGGTGGTATTGTTAGTTTGTGCTTAGCTACCACACCCTAAAGGTATGTGGTTTGAATCCATCTGGTGGTGCTGAGGGAGAAAGGGCTGGCATTTATCTGGTGCTACTCACTACCATTGAGGAGCAAAGATGTCAGCTTGAGGACTAAGGTGCACCTGACCCAAGTCATGGTATTTTCAATAAGCTCAGATGCATGCAAAAGCTGAACAGTGAATAAGGAAGACTGTAGAAGAATTGTTGCTTTTGAGTTATGGTGTTGGAGGAGAATATTGAAAGTGCCATGGGCTGCCAAAAGAACCAACAGAGCTGTGTTGGAAGAAGTGCAGCCAGAGTGCTCCTTGGAGGCCAAGATGGCCAAACTTTGTCTCTCATACTTCAGACATATTGTCAGGAGGGACCAGTCGCTGGAGAAGTATATCACGTTTGGTAAAGTGGAGGGTCAGAGGAAGACCCCCATCGAGATGGATTGGCCAAGTGGCAGCATCAATGGACTCAAGCGTAGCAACAGTAGTGAGGTTGGCCCAGGATCGGGCAGTACTTCATTGTGTTGTGCATAAGGTCACTGAGTCGGTACCCATGTGACTACCCATGTGATTGCATATAATCTTCACCATAGTCTAGCCAGGAGTCCTGGTGTGGTGCTGTAGGATAAGCACAGGACCACAGGTTAGTTTGAACCATGAAGTCAATGGTTCAAACTCACCAGTCGCTCCTCAAAAACCCTATACAAGGTCGCTATGAGTCAGAACCGACTCAATGGCATTTAACAACAACATAGTCCAGTCAGGTGAGCGCTAATGTTGTTGTTGTGTGTAGGTGAGTTCACGCTGACTTATAGCGACCCTAGCTCAAAGTAGAACTGCCCCATAGGATTTCCAGGTGTGGTGATGCAGGATAATGCACTGGACCTCAAGGTCGGCAGTTCAAACCCACCAGCCACTCCTTGAAAACCCTATACAGGGTCACTATGAGTCAGAACCGATTCTATGGCACTTAACAACAGTCTTCACAGATATCAGAATGCTGTATCTTTCTGCCTCAGAGTGGCTAGTGGTTTCGAACCACTGACATTTTGGCTCAAAGTCTAGTGCTTAACCATTGTGCCACCAGGGGATCCTTTCGGGTGCTAATAGACTCCCTGTAACTGCTGCACAAACTGAAGCTGGGGCAGAAGTGCCTGGTCCAATAGCTCTTCTGTGGCTTGCTTCCTTACCACCAGTCCTGGGAGAGTAAGCATGGGCTTCCTCACTGTTGGAGCAAAAGCTTGAGTCCATTGAAGATATGGCACACAGGCAGTCCCTCCAGCCCATGGGACTTTGTCCATGGCCACCAAGCCTAGCTCGTTCTTGAGTGCAAAGCAGGGAACCAGCAGGACTCTGCCAGCCCACATGCCCCTTCAGGTGAGCAGGGTGAGGCGCCTCTCCCGCCAGCTGGACACAGCACCTGGGCTTCGGCTTGAAGTGAAGCTGCAACCAGACGTCTGGTGCAATGTCAGAGGGTCCTCAGGGACCCCCAGTGGGTTGTCTCACAGTTCATGGGCCTGGTTCTGATTTGTCCACTCCTGGGTGGTTTGCAAGCACCACTGGCTCTCTGGGTCATGTCTCTAGAGCCAGAGTAGCTGGGTTCCAATGCTGCCCTCCCTACCCTACCCCATCCCCACAAGCTACAATATGCCTGGAATCAGAGGCTGAGCCTCCTTGCCAGGAGAAGATTTAACACCAACGGATTACCACATAACCCATAGGGACACGCAAGAATGAAATGAGATCCAGCCAGACAAGGCCCAACTGGGGGCACCACTGACCTTAAGCTGTCACTGCACAGTAGACGGCAAACAAAAGGTTCACCTTTCCTGGCACAGAGCAGATGCTTACAAATGGGAAAGGATTCGGTTTCTCAGGAGCGCTGGTAGCGCAGTTGTTAAACGCCTGGCTGCTATGTGAAAGGTCGAACCCACCAGCTACTTCAAGGGAGAAGGAGGTGGCAGTCTGCTTCCAGAGAGGTCTCAGCCTTGGAGACCCTGTGGGCAGATCATCCTGCTCTCTAAGGTCACCATGAGTCAGAATGGACTCCACGGCTGTGGGTTTGGTCTTGATTTGGTTGATTTCACTTCTCCTTCATCTCCTCCTTACCTGTCTGACCCCTTCACATCAGGTGGGCGTGGGGATGTCTTCAGGGTAAAGAACTCAGAAGTCTCTTTATTCCTGCAGGTGCCTTGTCCCACTCCCACCAAGGTAGGTCATGCCAGCCCCTGAGGGCTGTGACTCAACCTCCCTTTCCTGTGGTAGTTATGTGTTGTGGAGTCAGTTCTGACCCATAGCGACCCTGTACAGGGTTTCTGAGGCTATAAATCTTTACGGGAGCAGAAAGCCTCATCTTTCTCCTACGGAACGGCTGGTAGTTTTGAACTGCTGACCTTAAGGTTAGCAGCCCGACTCGTGGGTTACCAGAGCTCCTTTTTGAGTGAGACCTTAGAGATATAATGAAGAAACCAGAACTGGATCTCAGGTCTGCAGTCCAAGGTCCCCCCTCCCTTAGTGATCCAAATACAATGCAGATGCTGAGTCCCTGGGCTCCGAAATTCCGCTTCAAGGTGGCGCCAGTGCTGATGGTTGTAGACCCCATGTGAGCAGTGGGCTCCGCAGTACTCACCCCCTTCAGAATCCTACCTCATCACCGAGCTGTCTTTGCTCTGGACCCTGGTGCCCCAGCCCCTCTGGAATTACCTCTGAGTTGTCCTCAGCCAGGTAGTAAACAGCTACACAGCAGGCAATGGCCACCCCAGTGGAGACTACCCAGGCCACTGCATGGGCAGACAGACGGGTCAGCCGCTGGTTTAGTGTCAGCTTGATATTCTCCTGTCGGATTTCTGACAGATTCTCCTACAAACACAAGGCAATGAAGGTGACCAATAGACCCCTGCCTTCCATTAACCAAGACCCTAAAGGCAACACCTGCCATACCCAGAGATACACATGCACCCCAGATCCTCCAGTGAGACAGAGGGGTGATCTGATGATGGTGGACGTACATTATGGGAGACCTTGGGAGAAACAGCCAATGAGGCCAAGAACCCCTAGCACTACCTGGGATGTTTTCCATTTTAGAGAGAGAGGTAGACAGAACTGATTATTGGGAACATGTTCACAAGGGGATATTCATATAGTGAAACTCTTAGTTGAAGAAGAGGTTGGGACTCTACACCAAAGAAGATGTTAACATCTTCAACCCTCTTTGTTTAGAAATTCCTCTTGCTCTTTCTTTTCAATATATTTTCTTTCTTCCTTTCTTTTTTTCTATAAAGTGTTTCAATCTTGAAACTACTGACATCTTGGTTCAGTTAATTCTTTGGAAGTAAAGTGGTTGTTCTGTGCATTGTAAGAAGTCTAGCAGTACTCCTGGACTCTGCTAATAATGCCCCTCCCAACTGTGACAACCAAAAATCTACAAACATTGTCCAGTGTCTCCTGGGAAGGCTAACTCACCCCAAGTGGGAAAATCACTGCCCTAGAATGAAATTTTAAACCTTGAACTCCGGGGTCAAGAAGTATGCATATTAAAATTTTTATTGTTATTGTTGTCATTAGGTGCCATCGAGTCAGTACCAACTCACAACAACCCATATCAAAATTTTGATATAAACTGCTAAATTGCCCTGTAGTAAGACTGTACCAATCACAAAGCCAGCATTCCACATAGAAATGTCCATTTCCCTACATCATCACCAGCACTGAGTATAATGACTATTTTGAACTTAAATAAAAAAGAATCCATGACTATTTTAAGAAAAGTTGAGAATGCACTGGAAGAGGGAGGAGACCAGCCGTGAGCAGGTGGGCTGAGCAGGCTTGCTTACCCTGATCTCGGTACTAAGATTCTTCTGTTTCAGTTTGACAGCTTTCTCATTAGTGACAGTGAAGTCCCAGCAAAAGATAAGTTTAGCAATTCCTCTGGAGTAAAGGTGGGGGTTAATGAAGTTGTTCCGGAAATACTTCGCCATGCTAGGGAAACCAAATACCCAAGGGTTATTACAAAAGGCGTTGGGAGATGAATTTCATTAAAACAAAGGCAAAGCTCAGTCGTTGAGGGCGAACCAGCAACATCAAAGAGTAACTCCCAAGATCTTCCCTAGCTCTATGCTTGCTATGTGATGGGCTGGCTTACAAGCCAACTGCTTTGCCAGCTGGGGAATCCTGTTGACTGTGCTGCGCCTCAGTCTCCACAGTTGTATAATGGAGATAGGGAGTCCCTGGGTAGAACAAATGGATAAGATGTTCAGCTTCTAATCAGCAAGAGGTTTGAGCCCAGGCAGAGATGTCTCAGAAGAGCGATCTGACAATCTACTTCTGAAAAATCAGCCACTGAAAACCCTGTGGGTCACAGTTCCACTCCGGTACACACGGGGTCGTCTTGAGCTGGAGTCATCTTGATGGCAGTTGGTAGCTGGTTGACAAGTACCCACCTGTGCGGTCCAGTGAATTACTTAATACAGTCCTTCTACTCATGGTCTTTGTAATGTCCACCCAATGTCTGGGCTGCGGCTGCCGTGTGCCATCGAGTTGGTTCCGACTCATAGTGACTCAATCTAGGGTTTTCAAGGTTTCAGTCTTTACAGGAGCAGGGATCCTCATCTTTCTCCCCCAGATCAGTTGGTAGATTCAAACTGCTGGCCTTGCAGTTAGCAGTCCAATGCATAACCCACTATGATAGCAGGGATCTCAATGCAAACAAGGTGTATGGAACCCTAATGTGGGGTTGGCCTGGTAGGCATCAAATGAGCCATCCTAGGTGTGGGATCACATGACCACCATGAAAGAAGAGACAGGAGTGGACTGTGTCCTTTGGATCTGGGATCTTTGCTCTGAGAAGGTCCTCAGGCCAGGTGACAGAGACAGTTGTAAGAACTTGCTGAAATGCTGAGAAGCAGTGGCAGAGAAGTGGCAGTAGAATCACTAGGGGTCCTGCAGGAGGCCAGCACCAGGCAGAGCAGTGGGCTTCCAGGCCCACAGAGTGGGGAAGCTGAGCACCTTCTTCAGGCAGCAGGCTTGTGGGTGGAGTGGGTGCCTCTGGGTATGTGGTGGAGCTAGGTTTACAGCTGAGTGTCTTCAAGCTGAGGATTATTGGCAGAGCGGGGTGCCTCTGGGCACTTCTCAGCAGAACTAAAGAGCTTTGAAGTTACATTTGTCTGAAGGCCAAGAGGCTGAAGGGCAGAGAGGCCGAGGACCAGAGAGAGGCCAGTGCACAGGCATGCTTGAGAAGCACCCATCATGACCAAAGAACTGTATCCTGAGTTGTTTCAGAACCTACATTGTAACCTGTTACTTCTCTAGTTGGAGTCCTGGGATGGTGCTACAGGATAAGCACTGACCACAAGGTCGGTTTGAGCCACAAGGTTGGCAGTTCAAACTTACAAGCTGCTCCTCGGAAACCCTATACAGGTTTGCTATGAGTCAGAACTAACTCCACAGTACTTAGCAACAACTTCTCTAACTAACCCCATAATCATGAGTACTGCCTGAGGGTAGTAGCCCAACTTGTAGCCACTACGTCACCAGAGCTCCTTAATGACCAGTGATATATAAAAGACAGGCAGAGATAGGGACACATACATGGGATGATGGACAGGAGATGCGTGAGGCAGTTCCTCTGTAAGTCCTCAGTGGTCACCCACTTTGTGAGATTTTGTTATGGCAGCCATAGGAAATGCAGACATAGACACAAAGCACTGAGAACAGCAAACACTCAAAAGAGACAGCTGCTGATAACACAAATGTGTGTGTGGGTGAGGGATACAGTGACAGTAAGCCCAGGAAGTGGCCTAAAGCCTGTCACACCGTGAGTGTAGAGTAAAATGAAAGCTTCCTTTCTAAAATTTGCCACCACTGAGTAAGAGCAATTTAAGGGATGCTCATAGTGGTTATGAATCGGGCTGCGAACCTTAAGGTCAGCAGTTCAAAACTACCAGCTGTTCCGCGGGAGAAAGATGAGGCTTTCTGCTCCTGTAAAGATTTACAGGCTTGGAAACCCTATGCAGGGTTGCTATGAGTTGGAACTGACTCCACTGTATATCACCATCACCACCATGTCTGGTAGTTTAAAACAAACTCTTATTCTGGTGAGCTACTGAGATGGCAGTAAGTCTGAACATGCTCACTTTTCATCTGCACTCCCTCTTGCACAACATGGCCTTTTTTTTCCGCCCCCCCGCCCCCCCGGCCATGTCCTTTTGTCCATACTACTTGGATCACTGCACCCTTACTTTTAGGCTGGTCAGTTTCTTTAAAGAGCAAGGATGCCATTTCGAAGACTAAGCTGAGACTGACCCAAGTCATGGTATTTTCAATTGCTTCACAAGTATGTGAAAGTTAGACAATGAAGAAGGAAGACTGAAAAAGAATGGATGCAATGGAATTACAGTGTTGGCAAAGAATATTGAAAGTACCAAGGGCTTCCAGAACAAGAAATCAATCTTGGAGGAAGTACAACCAGAATGTCCCTCAGAAGTGAGAACTGTACTCGGGAGATGTTGCCAGGATGGACCAATCCCTGGAGAAGACGATCATGATTAAGTGGAGTAGGGTCAGTGAAAAAGAGGAAGACCCCCAACATGATGGACTGGCACAGTGGCAGCTGCAGTGGGCTCAGACTTAACACTTGTGAGGATGGTACAGTGCTGGCAAGTGGTTCATTCTATGTACACAGGATCGTCATGAGTTGGAACCAATTTGACAACACCTAACAACAACTAATTTCTTTAAAAGTGCATGGAAACCTATCTTCCTCCCACCTGAACTCTTAAGTTGTGGATAAGAGAAGATCCGACAACAACAGAAAGACGAAATTGCAGTGAAACTGCTTCCTGGGCAATTTTTGACTCTCTTGAATTTTGCCTAAATCTAGAAAGAGCCTTGTTGTGGTTGTTAAGTGTGATTGAGTGGGTTCAGACTCATAGCAACCCTGTGTAGGCTTTCTGAGGAGCAGCTGGTGGGTTTGAGCCGCTGCCCTTGCGGTGAGCAGTCCCAAGCTTGTCCTGCAGCATGACTTCAGGACTCTCCAGACCCTGGCAATGCCAACCCTCCATACCTGTACAGCAGACTGAAGAAGCAGGTGACCAAGCACGCTCCGATTGTGAAGATGTAGGCCAGCTGCATGTTGTAGGATGCCCAGCTGTTGTCATGCCGGATTGTAGAATTGGTGTAAAAGCCGTAGTACATCACCGTGTCCCGAAAGTAACCCTGAAAGGTACCATCAAGGAAACAGGTCAGATGGGCCTCTTGAGGCCAAGATGACTGAGCCCAGGGCAGCCGAGTACAACACCAGCCGCTCCCTGGAAACCCTATACAGGATTGTGATGAGTTGAAACAGACCCGACAGCACTTAGCAACAACAAATAGTAGATATTTTTCAAAAGGAGAATTGTATTTTGTAGACATAAAAAAAATTTTAAATGAATAATTGAGTTTTTGTTAAAAAAATGCATATGTATACTTTTGCAAATGTATTTACATGAATGTAGAAAAGAGAAGTATGGACAATAAAATGTCAAACTCTTAATGGTGCTTACCTGGAGAGATAGAAATCCCACTCAATTGTACATATGTTACTCTGAGGGGAAAAAAGTTCCTGAAACACCCATTTTCTCCATCAGTCCAGCACCAGGCAATAAGGCAGTCTGGACAGGGTGACCACTTAGGTATGTCCCTTGGTTTCCAGAATGCTGAATGCAAGTTAGATGTTTGTACATAAAGGAAATGGAGCACTTACCCCCCCAGTTAAAAACTCCAATCCTGTGAACTGGAGGGTGTTCTTTTCAGCCACAGTAAACTGAGGGATTATGAGGAAGCTGAAGGTCACAATGAATGAGAAAATGTTGAACTTCAAAAGCCATTTTAGAAAGTTGAAATAGGAGAGAACACTGGTTCCAAATTTGCCTCCAATGACCTTGAGCGTCTTCTGCCACAGGCTGATGGAGTTGAGGACTTCTGACAGACTATTCCTGGATCTCCGGTAAGCCTGGAGTTAGGTCAAAAAATGAGTGGCTTTACAGTCATTCAACAAATACCTACGAGCAGATATCACAAATAAGAACGGCCACCATTTCTCAAGCGCTGTGCTAAGTGAGTTTACAAATGCTATCTAATTTAACCCTCACAACCACCCTGTAAGGTGAGTGTTGTCATTATCTTCACAGGATTGCTGTAGAAGGGGAAACTCACGGGCCTAACTCAGCAACCTCTTCATCTTGCCCATGCCAACCTTCTCCCCCCATACCTGTCTGTATTCACCTACTTTCTTTGACTCTGGGCATTGAAATAGCCCTAGATTTTAGCTTTTCTCCCCTAACTAGTGTCTCTGGTGGTCCCATTTCATCTGTGCTCTGTTTTTACTCCCTTGCACTGCCCAGCTTGCAAAATGCAATAAAGACTGTCTTACCAGTGAAATGGAGTTCAGACAATGAGTACAGCAATTAAAGTGAATGATATGATGAGACTGTTTACTTTTCTCTGTGTCAACAATTTTCCTGAGGGAACAGCAGAAGAAAGTGAGAGATGACAATGCTGTCATTCATTCATTCAAAAAAATATTTACCATGAACCATGGCCTCATCCAACCTGAGACCAGAAGAACTAGATGGTGCCCAGCTACTACCACCCAATGTTCTAATCAGAGCCACAGTAGATGGACTCTGATAGAATGAGAGAAAAATGTGAACCTCAAATTCCTTAAACACACACAAACCAGATCTACTGGGCTGGTTGAGATTAGAGGACTCACCAAGTCTGCTGCTCTGATTTATTCTTCAAGCTTTAAACTGAAACTAACCCTTGAGGTTACTTCAGAGCTAAGTAACAAATTGGCTAAAAATGAATCAGTTTCACCCCAATGACTGTGCTCCTTTTTTTTAAAAAATCACCTATGTAAGACCAAGCAGTCAACAATTACTTTAAAACACAGTATTTTAAAACGAAGATGAGATTGTAAGGATCCTGGAGGCCATCGAAAGGACTTGGCCTTCATGAGGTGACTTGGGGAGCTAATGAAGGATTTGAAACCAAAGAGAGTTTTGAAAAAGTTTCAGCCATAATAAATCTTTTTATCCTTCCCTGAGCCTATCACATCCACTTTGTTCAGTTCCTTTACTGGCTGTCCTTGGCTCCCCGTCAAACGCCTATCCACATGTTGATGTTGTTAAGTACCATCGAGTCAGTTCTGGCACATAGCAACCCAGTATGGGGTTTCCAAGGAGCAGATGGTGAGTTTGAAGAGCTAACCTTGCCATTCAAACCAACCTTGAGGTGGAGTGCTTATCCTATAGCGCCACACCAGGACTTTTGGTGTGGACAACCCACATGTTAGTATCTTTCAAAGTTCAGCTCAAACGTCTCCCTGCAATACCCAGTATGTCTCCTTGCTCCTTCCAGGTAATCTCCTTGGACCTTGACTTGACAAGCCTTTCTTGGTGCCACATGTAACTTACTTGTTGACAAGTCTATCTCCTCTCTCCTCTACTAAACTTTGAAATTTATCTTTGCACCTTGATATCCAGGTCAGAAAAGCATGTTGAACTGTGGAATTGCTTACTAGCAATTGTTTCATCTAGTTTAACAGTTTCTGTCAACTATGTTATTGTTGTTGTTAAGTACCATTGAGTCGGTTCTGGTACATAGCAACCCGGTACAGGGTTTCCATGGAGCGGATGGTGAGTTTGAACTGCCAACCTTGTGATTCAAACTGACCTTGAGATCAAGTGCTTACCCTATGGTGCCACACAAATTGCAAAAGAGAAAAAGAAAAACAGTGAATGTAAGATCTAAAACCTAAAACGATCTTCACCCTTGTGAATTCCTGAGCTTAAAAAAGATAGTACAGAGAGGTGCCTACACTTCCTACCCGACTTCCCCTGTTAATAGCTTACATTCCCGTGATACTTCTGTCAAAACTAAGACAGCAACACTGATTCATTAGTATCACCTAAACTTCAGGCTCCATTCAGATTTCACTAGTTTTTCCACCAGTGTCTTCTCTCTGCTCCCAGGCTCCACTGAATACCGTATCACGAGTTGGGATGTTACCCAAAAGGTCAACATTACGAAAGCACCAGCAGCTCCACGGGAGAAAGATGAAGCTATCTGCTCCTGTAAAGATCGGGGCCCTGGTGTGGCATAAGCACTGGACTGCTAGCCTCAAGATTGGCAGTTCAAATCCACCAGCTTGCTCTTGGAAACCCTATACAGGGTCGCTATGAGACAGAACCTACTAGATACCATCCAACAACTGTTTCTTCTAGTCTGCGATAGCGTATCAGTCTTTCCTTGTTTTTTGATAACATTGAACTTTGAGAAGTATTGATCGGGCACCTTGCAGAATGTTGGTCAATTTGATTTCTGTGACCTTTTTCTCATGGTTAGATGGGAGTCGGGACAGTGGTGGGTAGAATTCTTCAGTTCCCAGGCAAAGTATCTCAGGGGCAGCTACCACCCATCTGTCAGTGGTTTGGTAGACTCTGAACAGGTTTCAGCGAAACTTTCAGACCAAGACGGACTAAGAGGATCTGGGAATTTACTTCTGAAAATCAGTCAATGAAACCTTATGAATGACAATGCTTTGATCTACAGCCCACAGGGATGGCACAGGACTGAGTAGTGTGTTGTGCCTGAAGTCATCATGAGTTGGGAGCCAACTTCACAGTAGTTAACAACAACAAGAAGATGGGGTTTATGGGTTTTAAAAGACAAAACCACAGAGAGATAGTTCCCTTCTCATTACATGCCTTATCCCTAATGACGTAACTTTATCTCCTTGCTGAGGTAGTGTTAGCCAAGCTTCTCCTGGGCAGAGAAGTATTTCCTCCCTTTCCATAGCCTACTCACAGCAAGCACCTCACTAAGCGTAGCCCCCAACTCAAGGTCGAGGTGTGGGGAGTACCAACATGAGTTATGTGGAGTTCTTCTCCTTTGAAAGATTTGTCTCTTCTCCCATATTTATCTTTTTGAAATAGGACCAAAGTAGCAGATTGAGGTTCTCATGATATCTGGAAAGGAAGCAAAGTGTATGGTTAATACCTGAGCTTCCTTTTCTCTTCCATGGTCCTTGGTTGGTTCCTGATAGCCTTATTTCTGTCTCTTGGGCTCAGGGGGATCAGAGATGCAATTAGCTTTTGACCTGTGGAAGAAGATAAAAAAATTTTTTTCTTAATGGAAAATAACATTTCAAAATACAGCACATCCTTGTAAAAGGGCACAGAGAAAGAAGACTGTAGTCTGGGATTCCAAAGAACACAAACATTTGTTCAATCTCAACCAGAACGTAAATGTTTGTAGAAAATTCCAATTCTGTTTTGGTTGTTGTTTTCCAGTTTCCTCTGACAAAAAAAGCATTTAGCCAAGTCAACCAGCCTACCTGGTTTTATTTAACATCCCTCAGATCTCTCTTTGGCACCCTGAACTCCAGGCCCAAGAGCCTTCCTTACATCCTTAAGGATGGTCGATTGTTGTACTCACATTTGGCAATCAGACCTACTTTTTGGGTCCCAGATTTACCAGCTACTAACTGTGAGTCCTGGTGTGGCACTGTGGGTTTGAACCATAACGTCAGCAGTTCAAGCTCACCAGCCACTCCTCAGAAACCCTCTACAGGGTTACTTTGGGTTGGAACCAACTTGACGGCACTTAACCACAACAACAACAACTGTGCCTCAGTTTCCTCATCAAGCAAGTGAGAATCGCGTAAGTCCCTGCTTCAAAAGGATGAGGTGGTGGTGGGGGTGTTGTTGCTTCAAAAGGATGCAGTGGGGGGGTTGTTGCTGTTAACTGACACTGAGTCAGTCCCGATCCGTAGAGATCCTGTATAGTGTTCCGAGGAATGGCTGGTGAGCTCGAACCGCCAACCTTGCAGTCCAGCACGTTAACCTGCATGCAACGCCACACCAGGACCCAGGTAAGGCAGGCAGGGAGTAAGTAAAAATAAATTCAATAGATAGCCAAAAGGAAGTGCTCCTCAAAGCACCAGGCACATGAAACAAGTTTAATAAAAGTGCGTTCTTATTAGAGGGGTCCTTCTAAACGACCCCTTCCATCGCCCCTCAAATCTTCACTTAAGCTACCACACTTGCAACTTACTTGGTGTCTTAAGCTAAAAAACACCCTCAGACAACTTGGAGGATCCCTTCCTAACTCCACCTCTCCAGTTTTACTACCTTGAATGCTTTCAAGTGAAGTACAAGGAGTGCCCAGCCCCATGCATTCTGGGATGTGAAGGGTCTGAGAAATTGATTCATTCAGAGATGTTGAAAACTGTGACAACTGCCTGTGTTGTTTGTAATTCCGTCTGCTGGAAATCGGAGAGTCTATTACATCGATGTCAGAAATTGATGTCATCCTGCTGAGGCCGGAGCGTACCAGCACTCTTTCTTGAAAAATCTCATTCGAGAGTGGGTGGCTTTGAACCCCAGATGGAACATTCTCAACCTCTATGATGATGTCATTCCCTGGGTCCTCGGATGACATCTTCTGCCACTTCCACACCTTATCCTCCACTGAAGTGGGCTTCCAAAGACCTCGTGTAGTAGTCACAGAGGCATTGTCAAGGATTTGCAGGAAGTGATGGACGATCCCAAAGGGACAAACCAATCACATTTTCTAAAATGCCAGGATGAAATTACCAGAGCCAACCCCACACAAATCACAACCTAGATCTCCACATCGGCAGAGAGGTCTCTGTATCAGGAGATGTGTTTTCCTGCCAAGAGTTCTATCTTGGTAACCAGGCAAGACACTGGAAACAGAATCCTTCAAAGACAACAGGATTCTAGAAATAGAAGGCAGAGCTTCTTCTAAATGATTCATAATCAAAGGGCAAAGTTTTCTTTTTAATTTGTTGTACATTTATAATTTCATATACCTGTATAAGTCCAGATGGTTTTGTTGTTGTTAAGTGCCGTCGAGTATGTTCTGATCCATAGTGATCTAGTATAGGGTTTCCAAGGAGTGACTGGTGAGCTTGAGCTGCCGACCTTGTGGTGCAAACCGACTGCAGTTCATTGCATTAACCCATCTCCTGACTGCCTTGGATGGTACTGGTGGTTTTAGCTGCTGTCTAGTAACTTCCGACTCATGGCAACTTGATCTATAACGATAACACTACTGGGTCCTGCCCTGTCTTCGTGATCATTGGTGCGTTTGAGTTCATTGTGGTGACCACTGTGTCAGGTCATCTCATTGAGAGTTTCTCTCATTTTCACTGACCCTCTATTTTACCAAACACGATGTTCTTTTCTAAGGATTGCTCTTTTCCTAATGCTGTGTACATAGTAAGCAAGTCAAAGTCTCGAAGTCTCCCTTCTAAAGAACATTATGGTTGTATTTCTTCTAAGATGGATTTGTTTATTCCACCTTGGGTTTACACCATTATTGCTTTTTTGTGCTGATTCTAATTCATGGTGCCCTCGTGGGGGAAAGAGTAGAACTGGTCGGCTGTAATCTTCACGGAAGCAGATTACCAGCCCTTTCTGTGTCACCGCTGACTGTTTGAACCACCAATCTTCTAGGTGAGTAGTAGGGATCTCCTGCTGTTTGTCCTCCCACTAGCCATTCTTTACCCTACACCAGCAGAAAATCCCATTTCCGGTGGTGACACAGTGCTTAGTTGAAATTCTCCCAGCTTCCTTTGTGGTTAAGAGTGCACCTATGACCCAGTTTGGGCCAATGGTACATGTGGCTTCCAAGAATGCTCTTTAAAGGAGGGTAGTGTTGCCTGGCTTCACTTTTTGCCCTTCACCATTCCTCCTTCTGGCCTACCGATTAGATAATGAGGACAAATCACGTACTAAGGTTGGTGAAGAAAATACTAGAAGGAGCCTCTGCCCATGAGGGGGTCATGGTTAGAACTGCTAAACAAACTTAGAGCTTCCTCCCCTCTAGACTTTAGTTCCACAAGAAAAAGAAATCCCTTTATAGCTTGGGCCACTGTATCTGTATCTGTACTCTGCACCTGAACACGATTCCTATCCAATAGACCTCATGTAGAAATCACCTGGGCTATGTTGTCTATTTACTAGTTGGAGAACTGACCCTCCTCCCCGTCACACTCTCATTAACTGACAGGCTTGGACTAGAACTCAACCTATCCCTTCTCCCCATCAACAAGATTCGCAGTAAGAATACCTGCCGTTTTAAATAGAGTATCTCATTTGTCAAAATAACTCTACGAAGTAAATACTATAATCAATCTTATTTTATAGCTAAGACGACTGAGGGTCAAGGAAGTGGTCTGCCTAAGGTCACAAAGCCAGCAACTAGTAGAACTGGGGGTCAAGCCCCAGTCCATCTGAATCCAAAGTGAGGCATTTAAACCACTGCACCCCAGCTCTTCCTATAACAAGATGCTGGTATATAGTATAATTAATTCATTGAGTCATTCACAAATGAAAGAATATTTACAAGTGCCTACAGTGTGCCAGGAGTCCTGGTGTGGCGCTGTGGGCTAATGCGCTGGACTGAAAAGTCAGCTTGAACCACAAGATTGGAGGTTCAAGCTCACCAGCTCTTCGGAAACCCTATACAGGGTCGTTATGGGTCGGACCCAACTCGACAGCACTTCACGACAACAACTATGTGCCAGAGCCCTGGTATGGTGCTGCAGGATAATGTGCTAGACCTCAAGGTCAGTTTGAGCTGCAAGGTAGTTGATTCAAACTCATCAGGTGCTCCTTGGAAACCCTACAAGGTCGCTACGGGTCAAACTGACTCAATGGCACTTCACAACAACAACCACTATGTGCCAGGTGTTTCCTAGGTGCACAGCATAATCCATCAAGCAGTCGCTTTTATTAATAGACTGCCCATCATTGACTTATACCTGGTGTGAGAACTAAAGCAAGCCAATCTAAACCAAGCTAGATGGTGAAGAACGCCACTTTCATCTCTGGGTCTTCTCTTTTGTAACTTCTCTCTTTACCCAAATGTCATACAGGCTAGACAGGGCAGTCTTGGGAAGTTTGAAGGTACTTCCTTTCTTCAACAATTAAAGTCATTCTTTGCTTCACTGGGAATCAAATGCAGAGTACGGTCTTTTATCTCCTTCTGGCTTTCCCTCCTGAGTAGCAATGCCTGTCCTTGATGGAGGACGCAGCCCTCCTTACTTGAGAAGGTCATCCACATGTGTTGTTTCTGTTATAGTAGAACTAGAAAACCTCAAGGTCTGTTTGAACTGCAAGGTTGGTGATTCAAACCCACCAGCTGCTCCTCCGAAAGCCTACAGGGTCGCTACAGGTCAAACGGACTCAACGGCACTTCACAACAACACTGTAAAGAGGAATGGTTTACATGTGATTGGAATTTCCGAACAATAAAAGACCAACAGGAAAAAAAGCACACCGTTTGGTAATTACACTATTTATTCCCTCTTTTTACTTTGTTATTGCTTCCTTTTCATTTACAGATTGATATTGATGACCCTCTGTTTTCAGTGTTGTTCTTGAGCTCTGGGTGGTATTGTCATGTATACTAACCTCATTTTTTTCTGCTATTGTTGATTCTCTGTCCAAAGAACTCCCCTTAGTAGTTTTTGTAAGATTGGACTGGTTTTGACAAATTCCTTTCAATTTCTGTTTATCTGGAAATGTTTGTTTAAGTTGGATTTCTGTCTCTGGCAACTAGAAGATTCCTAATGCAGGCACTGATATTCAGAAGAGAAGAAATTGCATGTCCAAAAGGAAACCCCATTATGATCAATTAGGCAAAGATTGCATCAGTTAGTATACCAGAAGTCAAGAAGAAATGGCTATTTGGGATTTGTCTCAAATCATCCTGGTTCCTTTTCCAGGAATGCTTTTGTGGTCACTGTATATTTGAAACTTACCTTGGGGTGTCATGTGCCAATCATGTCCGGACAACAGTGCGCTTCCATAAGCATGCCCGGGGCTGCTTTCATCTGTGTAAGCATGGTTCACTGAAATGAAGAGGCAAGAGACATTGTCAGTGAATCCCGCCACACTAGACAGCATTAAGCACATAATGGTTAGTAAGTCTCAGACCCTGTCCCAAGGTTCTGATAACATAGTGAACCTGTGTAGGGTTTCCACAGAGTGGCTGGTGAGCTTGAACCACCGACCTTGTGGTTCAAACCGACTTTGCAGTCCAGCACATTAACCCACAGTGCCACATAGCAGGATTCTGGAAAATATGATGTAAATCCCCAAATAATGCTGCTAAACATAAACATCCCAGATAAACAGTCTTCAATTCACTGCAAATGATGGTCCATAACTGTTTATCACACTGAAGACACACATCTATATACACAGCCAGAAAAAAAAAGTGTCACAAGTCAATACTTTGTTTTACTACATAAAATGTACTCTCATATATTCTTATTCTACTCCATTTGATTCGATTTCACTCTAGAAATTCATTTCACAACCCACCACAACTCAGAGTGTGAAATTTTCTTGTCTCGCTAATTACAAAATTCCACTCCAGCTTTAATGTTTTCTAATGATGTTGCTGTTGTTAAGTGTCATCAAGTCAGTTCCAACTCATAGCGACCCCGTATAGGGTTTCTGAGGAGTGGCTGGTGGGCTTGAACCGCTGACCTTGAGGTTCAAACCAATCTTAAAGTCCAGCACATTAACCCACAGCGCCACACTGATACATGAGTAAATTTGAAATATGGCATAATTTTCTTATGAAAGATTTTTAAACATGATGTGGTAATGTAGGATAAGCACTGAACTACTAACTTCAAACCCACCAGTTGCTCCTCTGAAGCCCTAGACAGGGTTGCTTTGCATGGGAACTGACTCAATGCAGTCAATAACACCATCATAGGGACAGAGTGCATTCTCTGTGTGTCACATTCTAGTGGCAGTGATACCCTCCCCCAAGTAGCCCCTGTTCTGCCTGAGGTCAGAGGTGTGACCTGTGGACTGAAAGGCAGATACAGGCCACCTCAAATTTGTAGGCACATGCTCTTTGCCTCCTCTAAATAGCAGAGCATGAAGTACTCAGTAGGTACCTTGCTCATAACCATTCCTAGGGTTAATAGGAACTCCTTCTGGGACCAGGTGTCCTAACCTCACCCACCCTTTGAGTTGGCAAGAATTCTGTCCAGGAGCAAGCACTCACCACCTCTGCCCATAACCTGCTTCTGCTAGGTTAGGAGAGTGTTCTGCAACCCACTCCAGTTTTCTCCTTTCATTTTTTCCCCTTTCCTTTCTTTTAAAAGATAATTATTTTCTGGTTTCCCTTTTCCCTTTCATTTGGTTTCTTTTTTCTTCTTTAACTATTGTCTTTTTCTTTTTCTCTTCTTTTCCTGCCCTCCCCAGTTTTTCTTTGTTTCTTTTCTTCCTTTTTCAAAATTATTTTTATTTGATTATCATTTTTCTGGTTGTTGTCTGTTTTATCCTCTTTCTTTTTTTAAAGGGATTTTTTGTTTTTGTTGTTTCTTCTTCTTTTGTTGTTGTTTTTCTTTGTTTCTCTCTCTCTCTCTTTTTTTTCTTTTTGTCCAC